GCTGACCACCGCACTGCGGCGCTCGCTCGATAGTTTTGCCGCCGCCGAAATTGAACCGCAGCGCGACCACCCCCCGCGCCCGGGTCCGGATCGAGGTGCGCAGGCTGAACGTATCATCGTGGCGCCGGGTACCGATCAGCCAATCTGTCCGACATCGCGCCTTCACCCGTGCAGCCCGGCGAGGTGATCGCGCGAGTCGGGCAGCGCGAGCAAGTCGACCTTGCTGCGCGTCTGGCCGGCGCGCAAGCGCCCAGCAGCAACGGCAGTGCGGATCGACGGCGCCTCGCTGGCCGACTGGGATCGCGAGCAGCTCGGCCGCCATCTCGGCTTTCTGCCGCAAGTGCCGACGCTCTTCCCCGCCACCGTCCACCAATATTGCGCGCTTCGCAGTGTCACTCCGAAGGCGAGAGCGAAGCGCTGGACGCCCAGTCATCGCCGCCGCGCAGATCAGGCGCGCATGAGGATCATCCTCGGCCTGCCCGAGGAATATGCCACCCTGCTGGAACGCGGCGGCCAGGGGCTGTCCACCAGCCAGGTCAGGCGGTGGCGCTGCCCCCGCGCTGTTCGGGCGGCCGACGCTGCTCTTCCTCGACAGGGCAATGCGCATCTCGACAGCAGGGGCGAGGCACGTCTAGCCCCGCACGATCGTGGCGTTGCGTGAGCGCAAAGGCGACGGTGATCGTGTCGACCCATCGCACCAGCCTGCTCCAGATCGTCGACAAAGGTCTATTTGCTTGCGCGACGGCAAGGTGCAACTGTTCGACGACCGCGCCAAAAGGTGATCGCCGCAGGCCGGAGGCGCCCGCGCCGCCGATCCCGGCATCGTCACCGCCGGGTGCGCGATGACCGACAGCGCCCCGCGCCCAGCTGGCCGACAGGCTCCACCTCGACGATTCGCCGCCCGGGCAATCCGCGTCAGCGCGCGATCATTAGCCTTTCTGTTTTTCGTCGTCGGCACAGGCTGGGCCGCGCTCGCCCAGCTGGATGCCGCGCCGCCGGCGAAGGCGGAGGTAACGGTCTCCAGGCAATCGCCGTACCGTGCAGCACCCGCGACGGCATCGTCAAAGGCGTGCAGTCCGCGACAGCGAGCATGTCGCGCCGGCCCATGATACTGTTCCGACTGGAGGGGCCGAGGTCGCCGCCAGCGAACGCGCGCTCGCCGCCAGCGTCATCGATCTTCAGGCGCAGCGTGCACGGCTGGGGCCGGAGATCGCCAGCCACGCCATCGTCCTGGCCGCCGATTTCGCCACCGCCACGGAAGCGATGATCGCCGACTGGTGGAGCAGGCAAGGCGTTTACGCTGGCCGCAACTGCGCATTCCAATACGCGCGCGCCACCGCCAGCGATCAGGTGCTGCGCCAGCAGGCGGCCGAGGTGGGCAAGCAGACGACGACCTATAACGCCCAAGCCGACGCCACCGCGCGGCAACGCGCCAGCCTGATGCAGCAGCTGGAAACGCGAAAACTGGCCGACGAGGGCTATGTCTCGCGCAACACGGTGCGCGCGATCGAACAACTCGATCCAGCAGCTCGAGGGTGCCGACGCGGATTACAGCTCACGCTCGGCCGCGGCGCTGAACCAAATCAGCCAGACCCGCGCAGATGGTGCAGACCCGCCGCCGCCGGTGGGGAGGCCGCCACCGCGCTGCGTGACGCAGTTCCAGTTGAACGAGATGCTGCCCGATGGGCCGCCGCGCTCGACCAGCTGGCGCGCACCGAAATCCGCGCCCGTCTCCGGGCCGGGTGGTGGGCTTGCGCGTCTTCACCGTCGGCGGCGTGATCCGGCAGGGCAGCCGATCCTCGACATCGTGCCCGACGCCGCACCGCTGATCGTGCGCGCCAATTTCGCGCCAGGCGATATCGACGGCGTTATCGCGGGGCGACCGGCCGGTGAAATTCCTGTCGCTCCATGATCGCGGCCTCCCGATCTGGCCGGCACGGTCCGCTCCGTCTCGGCCGACAGCCTGCGCGACGAAGCCTCGGGCCGCAGCTATTTCACCGCCGAGATCGCGGTGCCGCGCGAACAAGATCGCCCGGATCGCGGAAGTACGCGGCGGCGATACCGGCATTCGCCGGCGTGCCGGTGGCGGTCACCGTGCCGCTGCGCCCGCGCAGTGCGCTGCAATATCTGCTCGATCCGCTGACCGAAACCTTTGCGGTCCTTCCGCGACGATAATCGCCTATCCCTGCTGGCCAGCCTGCTTGGCGGCTTTGGCGCTGGCCAGGCCGGCCGTGGCGCAAACCGCCGATACCCCGATACGCTCGACCGTGCGATTGCCGATGCCTATCGCTCCAATCCGACACTGGAGGCGGGCGCGCCCAGCTGCGTGCGCTCGACGAACAGATCGTCGAGCGGATCGCCCTATCGCCTGAATGTCGGCGTCAATCTGAACCTGCAATATCGCCAGCAGGATCAGCGCAACCTGCTCGACCAGTTCGCCACGGTCCGCAGCCGGACGATGGGCGCGACCATTTCCCTCGCAGATCCTGCTCAATAGCGGCCGCACCGCCGCGCAGGTATCCGCCGCCGAAGCCACCGTGCTGGCAGGCGCGAACGGCTGGAGACCGAGAATGCCGTCCTGTTCAGCGTCGTCGATGCCTATGCCTCGGTCCTGCGCGACCGAGGGGCGCTGGTCGCGATCCAGACGCGGTCGCTCGAAAGCTATGGCCGGCAGGTCGATCAGGCTGTGGCGCGCGAACGGGGCGGCGACCTGACCTGGCACCGACATCGCCCGGGCGGGCGCAGCGCGAGATCATCCGCGCGCAGCTCGCGCAGGCGCAGGCCAATCTTCAGGCCAGCCGCGCGCGCGCCGCCGCGCTGGTCGGGCGCAATCGGCCGGCTGGCCCCACCACCGCCGCTTACCGGGCGTGCCGGGCTCGCTGGAATCGGCCTTCAGATCGCCGAGAAGAAAAGCCCGCCGTGAAAGCAGGCGATCACGGCCGCGCGCGCCGGCGATGCACGGATCGCCGCGCAGCGTGCCGAGCGCGCGCCGATCGTCGCGCTGACCGGCGGCTATGGCTATACCAGCCCTATTCCTATCAGCTGCGCGACATGGGCGGCGAGGCAACCGGCGGGATCAGCGTGACCATGCCCGCTCATCGCCGGCAGCCTGATCGGATCGCGTATCCGCGCCGCCATCGCCGAACGCCAGCAACTCGGCTTCGGGCGGAAGGCACCCGGCGCGGGCGCTGGCCAATGTGCGGGGGGCACGGAACCGGGCGGTCGCCGCCGGCGAACAGCAGGATTCGGGCCGCGTCGCCACAGGGCCGCCGAAGCGGCGCTGACCGGCGTGCGGCGAGTTTCAGGAAGGCTTCGCTCAATTTCGGTGCTCGATTCCGAGCAGCGGCTGCTCAACGCACAGATCGTCGCGACCAATGCACTTTATTCGGGCTATGTCTCGCAGGCCCGATTGCTGGCGACGCTCGGCCGGTTGCAGGCAGGGGTGATCGAGGCCGGGGTGCCGACCTATGACGCATCGGCCAATATCCGGTCGGTGAAGAAACGGGTCTTCGGTCCCTTCGGCCCTTGCTCGCGCCGATCGATCGCGCTTCTCGCCCTCCACCGCCGCGCCGCCCGCCCCGGTGCTGGCGGCGGCCAGCGCGCCCACGCGCTGCGCCCCGACGACGACGACGCCTTCGGGCACGCTGGGCGGGTCTGCCCGTCAGCCACCCCCCGGCCTTGCCCGCACCGTCCTTTAATGGAGTTGAGCGACACGGTGGTCACCAGCAGCCGTCCCGGCGAGGGAAACAACGCAAATAATCCTCCTGTAAGGGGAGGTGGCAAACCGAAGGCCTGACGGAGGTGTCCCCGTCGGCGGTAAGACTTTCATCACAACCGGTGGCACCCCTGCCCCATACTACGCATCGTCCCCCCTCCTTGCAGGGGAGGATGAGGATCAGCTCCGCGCCGCCAACTCTCCATAAAGCCGGCGATAGGCCCCGATGATCGTCGGATGGTCGTAATCGCGCTTCACCCGTTCGCGCATGGTCTCCCCCATGGTCCGGCGCAGCGCAGGGTCGTCCATGATCCGCCGGATCGCCGCCGCCGTCGCCGCCGGATTGACCAGCGGGGTGACGATCCCGCCATGGCCTCTATCCGCGCCTCCGCGCCCCTCGATCATCTCACGGCAACTGCCGACATCAGGCGCGACGACCGGGATGCCGCATGCACCGCCCTCCGGGATGACCAAGGGCTGCGCCTCCGACAGGCTCGTCAGGACCAACAGGTCGACGCGCATCATCCAGTCCTCGATCCGAACCCGCCCTTCGAAGGACAGCGCCTCGCCCAAACCCAGCTCGGCGACCAAGGCGTCGCATTCGGCGGCATGGCGGGGTCCTCATCCTTCGGCCCCAGCACGACAGCGAAGCGGATATCGGGCCGTGCGGCATGGACGATCGCGGCGGCGCGGATGAAGGTCTTCACATCCTTGATCGGCACCACCCGGCCCAGCAGCGCAACGACTGGCCGGGCGGGATCGCGCGCGTCCGCCAGATGCGCGAAGCGGCGGATATCGATGCCGTTGGGGATCACCCGCACCCGATCGGGCGCGGCGCTGATCGCCGCTGCACGGCATTATTTTTTCGCCATAAAGCGCCACGACAGGGTCGCAGGCGGCGTAGCGAGCCTCGGCATAGCTGGTGAGGCCCGCACCCAGAGGTCGCGCGCAGATCGCGCACGCTGCGCTCAGCTCCAACCCGGTATCGACACGGTCGCCGATCAATCGGCCATCATCACCTCGATCTGCCGTTCGAGCAGATAGATGCCATGTTCGGTGATGAACGCCAGCCGCCCCGTCCGATAACGCGCCCGCGCCGCCAGCAATCCGGCAAAGCCGGTCGAGATGGTGTGATGAACTCTCGCGCGCGGCAGCGTGCGGTCAGCACAGTCAGCAACCCGCCGAGCAGCGTGCGCATCGCCAGAAATAATGGTGGAACGACGCACGCGGCAGGATCGCATGGTAATGGCGCGTAACCGCACGAAAGGTCGCCGGATGTGCCAATATGTCGCCGGATCGGGCGCGCGCGCAGGCTGGCGAAAGATCGAGGCAGGCTCGCCATCGCCGCTGGCGTTCCGGTCGCGACGAACACCATCAGCGCATCGGCGATCGCGGCAGCCAACCGATCAGGAATGGGGCGCGGTGCCATGGCGGCGGGGGCCGGCCGATCTCGGTCACGCCCACCACATTTGGCGGGCGGGGTCAGCCTGCGGAACAGCAGTGGCGCCGGCCCGGCCTTGATCGCCACCACATGGAACCGGTTTCCGGGCAGATGGGTGATCAGGTCCTGAAAGCCAGCCCGATACGCCGCCGATGACGCAGGGATAGGCCCCTCGACGATCAGACAGACATCGGCTTCTTCCCCGCCTCGCGCGGCGCGCTCCTCACCAGACCGCCTCGGCCCCGCCACCGAGCGGCATCCCTATCGTCGGCATCCCCGCCGCCGCGCGATACGGTCGATCGCATCATAATCGCGCGCGGCCCGCCACCTCGATCGCCAGCCGCTCCGCCTCGCCCGCCCGGCCGCCGCGCGCGAGCAGCAGCGCCGCCTCGTCGCGCAAGGCCGCACGCTGCATGTCGGACAGCAGGATGTTCGATTGGCCATGGTCGGCGAGCAGTCGGCCGAGCGACTGCACCGCCTCGCATCGCCCCGGGCGATCCGCGCCTCGAGGCCGGCGCGATGCTCGCCAGATTATGGACGATCCGCGCCGACGCGGCGGCAGCCAGCGCGCAGATCGTTTGGTCGGGGGATCGTTCAGCACCTGCGCGACTAGTGGCGACAGGCCGGGCTCGAATGACCGCACCACCGTCTCCAGTGCGCGGCGCCGCTCGGCGACCGGTGCATGGCGCAGGATCGCGACCAGCAGATCGAGCCTGTCAGGCGCGGATAATAGACCCGCCCATCGAGCAGCCGCGCCATCTCCCGCGCCGCCCACGCCGCGGATGGGCATCTTCGGCCCGACCAGCAAAGCCTTCGTCGCGCGCGATGCCGGACGGACGCCCCACCACGCTCTCGTTCCAGCGGCCAGGATCTGACCCAGCATCAGCCCTATCGGCCCCGCCACCCCGGGATCGCGGCAGCGAAACCGCCATGCAGATCGGACCGCAACCACGCGTGATAGGTCCAGCCAGTCAACAGCGCATGGCCCAGCAGCGCCCAGCCCACGCCCAGTCCCGACAGCATCGCCATGCCGATCCGGGCGAGGTCGAGGATCGTCAGCGCCAGATACCGCGCCGTCATGCGGAGCGCATGACGCGCAGCGTGGCGCCTGTCCTGATCAAGGATCATCAGGCTCAGCCAATGGCCGATCTCCGCCAATTCGGCGACGCGGTGCGCGTTGAACTGCTCGATCGGCAGGTCATGGAACAATAGCAAGCCGTGCAGCCGGGCATCGCCGTCGGCCAGCGGCACCGCAGCGACGCCCGGGCCCGCCAGCCATTCGCGGTCACTGCGGCGCGCGACATGACGAACGCGCCGCTCACCCGATGCGGCAAAGCGTCTCGATCATCGCGGGCGGCAGCATGTCAGGCCGCCCATACTCGCCCCCGTCACCGCCCCGCCGCGCAGCCAAGCACGCGCCCGTCCGGGCCCAGCCGGTAGCAGGTGAAGTCGTCGCTCTGCGCCGCCACCCGATCAGCTGCGCCAGCGCCCACGCCGCGCGGCGGGATCGACCGAGGACAGCCGAGCCGCGGTCGCGATGATATGGCCGGTGGTGCGCGGGTCGGTGGCGATGCGGCGTTGCAGATCGCGGTTGGTCCGCGTCAGCCGTTCATGCGCATCAGTCATCGCCCGACATCGCGCACGGCCTGTGCACCGCGCCGCAATGCCTTGGCCAGATGGCGTTTGCGCGACAGCGTCACCTCGCCGCCACCGCGACCACGCACCACAATAGCGGCGGGATCGACAGGTGCAGCAGCCAGTCAGATAATCCCGCTCGCTGCCATCGCGGTGCGCCGCGAGCAACCAAAGGAGGAGGCGATCACCGCCGCCGCGATGCGGCCCCGTGCCATAGACCAGCGCCATGACCAGCACCGGGATCAATAGGGGCTGGGTCGCGCCAGCAAAACCGACCCCGCCGGTCAACCATTCGTCGAGCGCGGCGAGCAAGGCAAAAGACGATCGCGATTTCCAGCGCGATCCGGACGTTCCCGCCGCCACCGCGTCTTCCAGGCTGGCGCGCTCGTTCAGCAGTTCGGGGTCACCGCGGCGCCCCCGGGCTGCGTGTCGCAGCGCGCGGGCGAACGGTTGCTGCCCCGAAAAGCCGGGCCGGCTGATCGAGGTCAGACCGCCCGACGCCTCGACCTTCCACCACAGGCCGATAAGGTACGGTCATCCCCGGGCTGGCATTGGGGCCGTCACCGCCGAAGCGGTCGACCGTCCATCCGCCATGCCGGTCAGTTGTACCTCGCCCAGCGCCTCGCCGAGCATCGCCTGCACCGTATGGTTCTCGCGGTCGGCAAGCAGGATGAGCGGTATGCCCGTCGCATCGCTGCGCATATGCTGCACATATTCGGCCTCGACCCGGTAGCTGAGCCCGAAGAGCGGATAACGGCGGCGGATCAGATAATCGAGGCCACCGGCCAGCGTCACGCTGTCGCTCGCCCGCGTCTGCCCGCCAGCCATAACGATTGACGCCCCATCCCCTGCACGACCAGCCCCGAACTCAGGCGATAGACGCCGCCCAGCGCTGCGCGCGACAGATAACCACCGGCGAGCACCTGCGCCGGCGTGACATAATCGGGCATGTGGCGGGTCAGCGCCACGGAACTGGGCCTCAGCCGGACCGCCGGTCAACAGCGCCGCCGCCGGTCACCCCGTCGTCGAGCGCCGGGGCGGCCAACAACTGGAGCCGCGCAGCATCGCTGAGCGCGACCGCCAGACCAGCATCGATCACCGATGCCGTCTCGCTGACTGGCCGCCCCCCTTCGGCCAGCTGACCAGATGACGGACGCTCGCCCCATGCTCACCCGGTCGTCGAGCGGCACCTCAGCGGATGCTCGCCTCCAGCTGCGCCAGATCGCCGCCCTCGCGCGACAAGTCCCCGCTGGCCGTGCCGCCCGCCGCCGCCATGGCGCGGCGCATGGCCTTATCAGTCGCGCCCACCGCCCGATAGCCTCGGGGCGGCACCGGCAACATCGCCGTCCAGCATCCGCGCGTCAGCGAGCAGCCGGGCAGCGCGCTGGTCCTCAGGATCACGTGCCACCAGCGAAAGGCGGCCTGTTCGCGCCGCCCCGGATAGCCGGCGGCGAGATCGGCCTCGACCAAGGCGCGGGCGACGTCAGCCTTCGGATCGCCGTCGCTGACCGGCGCCGTCACCACCGCATCGGCGGCAGGCTGGAAGGCGACGATCATCGCCGCGCCGATAATCCGCGCATCCATCGCCCATCCGGTGGCGGGGGCGCATGAGCTGACATCGTTCCAGCGCAGGTCGCCGATCGCCGCCCCGACCTGCGATTGGAACAGCGCCACCGCCTCGGCTCCGATCGGGCGATCGGAATGGACGATCACCTCGCCTTCCGCTCGCTCCAAAGGTCAGCGCGGTACCGGCAGGCCAGACGAGGCGCGGATCGCCCGGCGCGACGATGCGATGGTCGACGAAGACCATATCGGGCACCGTCAGTTGCGGCATCGCCGCGCCGCCGAGGGGGGCAGATCAGTGGCGATCATGGCGTCAACACCGCCCGTGCCCGCCCGGGCTGCCCGGCCGCGATCAGCAGCCGTGCCTGCAACGCGGCCAGTTCGGCATCGCGCGGAGCCGCACGCCGCATCGCCCGTAACCAGCGCCAGCGCCTCGGCGCGCCGCCCAGCCGGTCGAGCAGCTCGGCCCGTGTCCGCCCGGTGCGCGGTGCCTGCAACAGCGCCCGCTCAGCGGTCGCGCCGCCGCCGCCCGCCCAGTCGGCTTGCGCATCCGCCATCAGCCGCAGCGCGGCGGGTCACTGGTGCCTCGACCAGATATTCGTGCAGCCAGTCGCGCGTGCGCTCGCATCCCCCATTCAGGCCGCCCGGGCGAGTCAGGCCAGTCGCGCGGTCCCGCAATTCCCGCCGCGATGCGCCGCTCGGCCAACGCGCGCGCACTGGGCAGGTCGAGCCCATCCGCCAATGCCGAGATACGACGCAGCGCGCGGCTCGAGCGCCCGTCCGTCGAGCAGTGCCGCCATCGCACGGCGGGCAGCCGCGATCGCCCTCCTCTTGGGCCCGGTGCAGGCGAAGGATCGCGATATCGGTCCCGCGCCGCCAGCGGATGGCGCTGCTGCACAAAAACCAGCGCGGTCGCGGGCGTATCGCGCTCGGCATAGGCGGCCAGCCAGCGCGCCTGATCGGCGCTCGATCCCGCCAGCGCCTGTTGCCGCAACCATTCGCGATCACCGGATGCGGGGCGCGGCCCCATCAGATAGAGCAGCCGCTGCCCCACCGCCGAGCCGGGCGATTGTCCGATGGCCGCCCGGCGCAACAGCGCGATTGCGTCTCGCGCGCCGATCGCCAACAACCGCTCCGCCAAAGGCCGGTAGATCGGCCCCCAGCCGCGCCGCCTGAGCCAGCATCTGGCTACGCAATCCAGCGCGATCGCCGGTCCGCGTCATCGGGCCGTCCGCGTCCTCCCGCTCTTCGGCAGGCAGACCGCCGATCGCGCGCAGCACCGAGGCGCTGTCCCCGTCCGGATCGCGACCCGCAGCGCCAGCCGGTCGCCCCGCCAATCAGCACCCCGCCCGGTCGAGCTGCGCCAGCCGGTCAGGCCTCCCGCGCCTCGGCCCGCTGCGCCAGATCATGCGCGAGCTTGGCGTCGGGCGGGAATCGCCCCGATGCCGCCGCCCGCGATGATCAGATCAGGGCGATCAGCGCATAGCCAGTGGCGATGATCGCTGCGGGCGGCACGCCGATGGGGCGCGTGGCGGCGGCGGCCAAAAGCCTCCGCCTCCTTGCGCCGGCCGAGCTTGCGCAACAGATCGACGCGCAGCAACCGGTCGCGGGGCCGGTGCCATCGGCCCCGCGCTGCAGATAGGCGAGCGCCACGGCGGGCGCCCCGCCGCCGCCAGATCATAGGCGACTTGCGCGGTGGTGACGGTCACGCCTTGGTCGGTCAGGCTCTGGGTCAGCGCCGCCAGCGCAGTGGCGTGTGGCGGTCAGGATCGCGGGACCGAGTTCGGGATGTGGCGGGGCCGATGGCAGGACAGGCGCGGCGGTGGGCGTCGCCTGTGGCGGGACGACAGGCAGGACCGGCGGGGCCGCAGGCAGCCTGTTCTACCTCGCGCCGCCCCGGCATCAGCACCGGGCCCAGCGCCAGGATCGCCGGGCCCGCCACGATCGGCAGGGCGATCGCCATCCAACTGCGACGAACGGGCGTCATCCCATCGGCTCCGCGATCAGATGGTCGAGCGCCAGCGTGGCGACATAGGGATCGAACCCGGCCGCGCGTTCGCGGGGCATGACGCCGCCACCGTCTTGCCATCCGCCGGATCATAATCGAGCGTGGTCAGCCGCAGCGCGGTTTGCAGGCCTTGGCCGGCACAACCGCTCCGCCTGCCAATGCCAGTCGCCGTCCGACAGCATCTCACAGCGCTTGGCCGCGAAACTCCAGCGCGAGGCCATCGACTCGCCCAACAGATAGTCGATCCGCGGCGCCACCTCGGGCAGCGCAGCGCCAGCTGGTTGAGCATCAGCAGGATGCCGGGAAGCGTGCGCGCAGGGCGGCGACCAACCCCCCGCCGCCGCGACCATGCCCTATTGCCCTCCGGATCGTCGCGTTCCATCGCCTCGGCATTTGTCGAGCGTGTCGAGAACAGCCCGTCGCAGCCCATCGCCAGGATCTTGGGCGACGGATTCAACAGCGCGGCGCGCCGGGCAGGATGGCGCAGATCGACATGACGCGCATCAAGGCCAATGCAGGTTGGGCGCGCGCAGGGCGCCGTCGCGCAGGAGCGTGGCGAAATAGGGCCAGCTCTTTTCCACTTCGCCCGGGCTAACATAGCCGAGCAGCTTGCTGCTGGGTCCATGAGTGGCGCAATCAGGCGGGCGTGATGCGGCTCCAGCACCAGCAGATCGAACTGACGGGCGAGCGACGGGTCGGTCGCGGCGCCATAATCCACGCCCCAACGCCAGCGCCGCTCCTTCGCATCCCCGTGGCATGGCGCGAAAGGCCACCCGAGCGCGCCGGCCCCGGGCCCAGCAGGTCCGTCGCCCATCATGCCACCGCCCCCATGCCCATCGTCCTTCGCGCCCGACCACGGCGGGGTTGTTTGCCGACGAAGAGCAGATAGACCAGACGGAAGGTCGATTCGGCGACCATCGCGATGCCGACCGACGCACCCACCACCGCACCCCGCCATATAGCCCCAGCCAAAGGCGGCCAGCCCGGCATCCCATTGCCATCGGTCGCCAGCGCACTGGCGGGCGAAAGCTCGCCCAGATCAGGACGACACGCGCGAACAGGTCATAATGGGACAGGACGACGGTCGCCCCGATCGCGACCAGATGGAACACCGCCCCCGCCGAAGTATGGCGGAAGGCGGGATGCCGCGCGGGTCGGCGCCGATCAGCTCGAATAACGGCACCGCCAGCACCGAACGGGGGGCGGCGACGACGGGGCTGGATCAGCACCAACAGGCGCAAGCCGTCGAAAAGGTCTCGATCAGTTCGGCCCGCGCCTCCTCGATCCGTGCCAGCGTCGAGGTGCCGGTGCACCGCGCCATCAGGTCGCCAAAGGCGCGGTCGAACCGCGTCTCCCCGACGATCAGGATCAGGGTCAGTCCGGGCACCATGGTCAGCAGGCCGAGGAAACTGCCTGCATCGTTGATCAGGTTGAGCCGCAACCGGCTGAGGTCTGGACACTGTCGGGCCCGGCCCAGAGCAGCCATTTGTCGACCCAGATCGCCACCGCCCCGTCAGCCCGGCCATGGCGATGATCAGCGCCAGCCGCCACCCGATCAGATCGCGCGTCGGCATTATCGCCGGGGCCGTGAAATGCCGGCGCAGCAGGACCAGAACGGCGGCCAGCGTCAGCCCCGCGCCACCGGTCACGCTCGCCAGCACCCATGTGCCGCCGAGATGGCCGACACATGCCAAACACGCCGCCGCCCCGCCGACCCCCCAGCAGATAGGCCAACGGCACTGCGCGATAGCGGCGCAGCGCGGTCAGCAGCGGCGCGGCGATCCATATCTGGGTCAGCGGGCGAGCAACAGGCTGGCCCGGAGCCGCCGGCACCAGCGGCAGCAGCGCGGCCCAGACACCGAAACACCCCGCCCCCAGTACCAGCGCCAGCACACCGCCGCCGGCCAGCGCGACCAGCAATATGCCGGGCACGCCGCCGACATCGCGTGCGAACAGCCGGTCGGCCATCAGTCGTATCGCCAAGATCGCGATCGGGCCCGCGGCGAGCATCGACAGGCTGAAGGCATAGATCAGGACGCTGGACCATCATCGCGTCACCCCGCCATCGCGCCGGGCGTCCAGCGCTCGAACGCCGCCATGGCGATGGCGGTGACCAGCCGAGGGCCGGCGCTGATGAACGCGCCGTGCAGCGCGGCGCCGGCGATTCCGCCGACCCCGCCCTCGCGCGCCATCACGCCAGTTGAAAGCCGATTCCCGCCATGACGGCGGTCTTAGCCCCTTGTATTTATAAATAAAATCACCGGCGGTCAGATTGCGATGGCCGAGCAGCGCGATCGAAGTCGGCCAGACCGAAGGCGTCGGTATTGCCCTCGACGATGGTATATTCCTTGCCGCCGACCATCTGGTAGTTGAAGCGTAGCTGGCCGGCGCCGGTGAAGGCCGCGCCAGGCGGACAGGAAAGGTAAAGGCTGGTCGCCGCGCGCGAAGATCGAGGGTGTTGGCGTCGATCGCCGACAGATCGATCTTGTCCTCGCCCGACTGGAAATCGGTGATGACATCGCGCAGCGACGACAGCGTCGGCTTTCCGAGAGGCCGTTTCGAAGCGGAAGATGTCTTACCCGCGCCGCCGGTCAGGATGTCTTGCCCATGCCGCCGATCAGGACGTCGTCGCCATCGCCGCCGTTCAGCGTGTCGTTACCCCAACCGCCGATCAGCTTGTCGTTGCCGCCCAGACCGTTCAGCGTCATTACCCCAACTGCCGTCAGGCAAATCCTGCTCGCCGGTGCCGTTGATCGTGTCGCTGAAGATCGTCCCCGTCTTGGTGATACCGACGACATCGGTCCGCCGATCGACAGCGTCTGCATATCGACCGCGCCCCTTGGCGTCGGTGGCGATCACGGTCAGGTCATAGACATTGTCGTGATTGAGATCGGTCGGATTTTCGTAATCCGGGCCGTTCAGGAACTTCAACACGCCGGTCGTCGCATCGATGGCGAAGGCCGCGCCATCGCCTTGTTCGCGATCGAATAGCGGATGCTGTCGCCCAGCGCGATGTCGGGATCGGTCGCGGTGATGGTGGTGACGGCGGTGCCGTTCTCCGCGATCGACATGCGCCCCGCATCGGCACCGCCAAAGGAAGTGATGGTCGGGCCGCTATTGGCGACATGGCCGACGGTCACGTCATGCTGGCCGATCGTGCCGATATCGATGGTCAGGATCTCGCCGATCTGGCTGGCGATGGTCGCGCCCCTTGACGGTGGTCCAGTCGGTACCCGGCGCCTTCAGGTCGATGACGACCTTGCCCTCACCCTCGACCGAGAAGCTCAGGTCGCGACCGTCGCCGCTCAGCGAAATCAGCGAGGCGCGCATCGGCAGGTCGGTGATGTGGGTCCCACGTCATCGGCCGCACGGCCCATGGTGATGGCATAGGTGCCGCCCGCCTTGGGCAGGAACACCTTGTTCGCGTCATAGGCATACCAGCCGGTCACGCTCTTGATCCACCTGCCCCGCCTGCTGCCCGTCGACGTCGAGCGCGAAGGTGCCGAGCGTGTCGCCGCCGAGTCACCTCGGCGGTGATCGTGTCGCCCGACACGGTGGTGGTGATCGACGCCTTCTGGAACGCGCCGATGCGTGCGGCCAGATCGGCCAGCGTCACGAACTCGACGCGGCGGCGGCCGCCGCTTTGGCGATGAAGTTGGTGAACATCGACGTGACATAGGGCTCTTCACCGCCGCATCGCCGGTCCACATGGCGGGACCGTAATCATGCCACGGCAGACGATCACCGGCGCATCGGCATGCGCGGTCAGCGTCGCCAGTTCCTTGCCCCATTCGGCCTCCGCCTCGGCGACGGTCTTCTTCTGGAACTCGATCAGCGAAGTCGAACATGGTGTTGGGGCGAGATGGACCTTGCCGTCCGCCGCATTTTGCCGGGGGGTCATATAGCCGAAGGCGTTAGGATAGCCCGCGCCGACGCCGGTATAGCCGCCCGACAGATAAGGCGACGTGCTTCAGGATTTTCGGCTGGTCGCGATCGTCTCAGGCGCGCCAGGAACAGCCCGCGCCGCCCAGTTTCCACCGGCCCAGATAGGCGCTCATCTGCTTTTCCAGCTCGGCGCGCTCGGCCCCCGAACTCGTAGGCGATCTGCTCGGCGGTCAGGACATTGGTGTCCTCGGGATGGGTATAGCTGTGCAGGCCGATTTCGTTGCCCGCCGCCATCATCCGCGCATAGATCGGCGCCGACACACCGAGCCAGTCGGTCGAGCGCTGCTGCGACAGGTCGTTGCCGATATTGACGTAATAGCTGCCGACGAAATTATGGGCGACTTCCACTGGTCGAGAATGGGCGGCGGCTTGCTGTAGATGCCAGCCGAGCCGTCCTCAGGCTTCACCTCGTCCGAATATTGACTCTGGTCCATATCGATGCGGGACGCGAACAGGCCGGCGTCGCGGGTCATCTGAAGGCCGACGCGCAAGCCCCCCGTGCTGGCCAGGCCATGCACCGAATAGTCGATCGCCTTTTGCAGCAGATTGTCGTCGGCCATCGCGCTTCGGTCGAGAAGAGGACGTTGCGGCCGCCGGTATGGGGTGGCGATGGCCGCGGCATGGGTCTGGCCGTTGACCGTCTGCGTCGCGATCGTCTCGCCCGTCCACTGACGCTAGTGAAGGCGTTCAGCCGACGCCCTTATAGTCGCGGATCGTCTCGCCATTGGCATAGCCGTCGAGGACGCTGTGGTTCGCGTCCGCCGCCTTGATCGTCATCGGCGGGCCAGCCGCCGGTGACGCAGGTGGCGATCGAACAACAGCTTCATGCGCGCATAGCTGTCCCCCGCCAGCGCGCTGCCATCGGCGGCGTTGGTCGCTGAACTCGCCCCCGCGACCGGGCCGATGCCGAACTGCTTGGTCGCCTGTTCCAGCGTGGGCGATCGCATCCGCCTTGTCCGCACGGACGTTGCGGAAGGATGGAAGACGATCAGGTCGTACTTGGCCAGCGTCGACAGGTTGGTCAGATCGTCCTCGGTGATGATGTCGAACGGCGTTCCGGCCTGCATCGCTTTGGGACTGGGCGGCCATGAACAACTGCGCATACGCCGTCTTGCTGAAATAGGCATTGGCGGTCGTTTCCGACCAGACGATCGCGATGCGATGCGACAGGTCGGCGGTGATGCCGGTGTCGTTGAAGACGGTGAAGGGCTTGGCCGAATAATTGCCGGGCAGGAACACGCTGTCGTTGACGTCGTACAGCGTGTCGATCGCCTGCGGATTGCCGATCGCGGCCTTGGGCGCGGAACTCGACCGTCTGGCGATCCGCCGACCATGCCGCCTGCAGCCCCGCCATCACCAGCGTCTCGCCCGCCCGCCCTTGTAGAGCGAGACGGTGCCGTCGGCGTTGAAGTTGATGTTATATTCCGCGCCGCCGGCAAAGCCGAAGACCTGATAGCCGGTGGCGGCATTGCGATCGGTGTTGAGCCGGGCGGTGGTGTTCGCTCCGATCGCCATCAGCGCGGTCATCGCGAAGACGAAATCCACGGTCATCGCTCTTGGCATAGATGGAATAACCATCGCCCAGGCCGCTATCGATCCGGTCGGTCGCACGCCAGTCGGACAGGTCGCCGTCGGGATGATCGAAGTCGTGGTCGCCATATCTCGCCTCTCGCCCTTGCAGGCCATCATCCGGCGATCCGTCACGGAATACGCCCATTTGTCGCCATTGCTGCTACGCGCGTCGTCGGACCAGCGGAACCATGGAGTCCGCTGCCCATCTGTCTCGGTGTTCCAGCGCGATACGAACGGGACGATATTGGCTTTGGCTTTTTGCCCGATCGGGCGATTCGCGCCGCTCGAAATGGAATTTGCCTGATGAGTCTGCACCTGATTCTGGTCGAGGATGATCGCGACTATGCCGCCGGCCTTGCCGACGACCTGACTCGCACAGGGCCACCGGGTCGAACATGTCGGCGACGGACGCGAGCGCTGGCCCGCGCTCGACCGCGACAGTTCGACGCGGTCATCCTCGACCGGATGATGCCACGGCTCGACGGGCTGTCGGTGGTCGAGACCCTGCGCGAACGCGGGTTGACGGTGCCCGTCATCATGCTGACCGCGCTGTCCATGGCCTCCGGACAAGGTCGACGGGCTGGAGGCCGGCGCGGACGATTATGTCGTCAAGCCGGTCGCCGCCGAGGGAGCTGAACGCGCGGATCAACGCGGTGCTGCGCAGGCGGCGCTGGACGGTCGGGGAAAGCGACACGATCCGCGCCGGCGACATCGTCGTCAGCCCGACCAGCTTTCGCGCGGCGAGCAGGCCAGCCGATCGCGCTCGCCAATCTGGAACTCAAGCTGCTGACCGAACTGGCGCGGCATGCCGGCGAGGTGCTGACCCGCGCGATGCTGATCGAGCGTGTCTGGGGCTATGAATTCGAGCCGGAGACCAATGTCGTCGACGTCTATATCCGCCGCTTGCGCGTGAAGCTGACCGAGGCGGGCGGCAGCGATCCGATCGAGACGGTGCGGGGCATCGGCTATTCGTTGAAGCCATGATCGACGCGGCGGTCCGGCGGGTCTCGCTCCGTGGGCTGACCGCCGGCGTCCTCCTGCTGTTCTGGTCGCCACCGTGGCGACAGGGGGTGTCGATCGGCCGCCAACCGGGTGACCGTGGCGCAACTGGTCGATAGGCGGATCGATGTGGTCGGCGACCTGCTGCTGGAGCGCGATGGCGATGGCGGTACCGCGCCGATCCCGACCCGCACCCTGCTGGCGCGGATCAGTAGGCCTGTCGGCGCAGCGGGACACGGGCGATGTCGGCCTGTTGCTGCTCGATCCCGCCGGCCGCGCGCTGGGTGGCAATATCCGGCTCCGCCATGACCTGCCGCTCGGCCGCTCGGACCTGCGCGCCCGCGACGGGATCGTCGGCCTGTCGCATGGCCGGGCCCTTGTCCGCGACGCCAGGGCCGGGCGACGGCTGGTCATCGTCGCCGAGACCAGGCCGTTCGACGATTACCGCACGCAGCGCACCCGCATCTATCTGTCGGCTTCGGATCGATCATCCTGATCGTACTGGGCGGCGTGATCGCCTTTTCGCGGCTGGTCGGGCGGCGGATCGGCGATCTGCGCCGCGCGGTCGATGCGATCATCGCCGGTGACATCCGCCACCGCGTGCCGCTGACCGGATCGGCCGACGAGTTCGACCGCCGGGCCGCCGCCTTCAACCGGATGCTCGACCGCATCGCCGAGTTGATGGAGGGATGCGCAGCGTCTCAACGACATCGCACACGACCTGCGCACGCCCTTGTCCCAGCTACGCGGCCAGGTGGCGGGGATGGTCGAGAAGCGGACGGCCCCTGAACAGGCGACGCGCGCGCGGGATGCGCTGGCCCAATGCGATGCGCTGCTCGCGATGTTCGCCGCGCTGCTCCGCATCGCCGAGGTCGGGCACCGCCGGGGCGGGCTTCGCACCGATCGACCTCGCCGCGCTGGTCGAAACCGCGACGATGATGATGCCGGTGGCCGAGAAGCGGGCCATCGGCTTCACCTCCGATTGGCCGTGCGCGAAGAATTTCCTCGGCGACCGGCAATTTGCTGATTCAGGCGTTGGTCAATCTGATCGGCAATGCGATCAAGCATGGCGCACCCGGCGGTAGGATTCAGGTGACGCTGGAAGCGGCGGATGGCGATAGGCTGGCGCTGCGCGTCGCCGATGACAGGCCAGCATTTCACCGGAAGACCGCGCGCTGGCGCTCCGCCGGTTCGGACGCCTCGACTCGGCGCGGACGCGGGCAGGCCATGGTCTGGGCCTGCCGCTGGTCGCCGCCATCGCGCGATGCATCGCGGGGAGTTGGGGGGATGCCGGCGGGGCTGGCCCGTATCGATGCTACTGCCGCTCCCGCGATAAGCCGAAGCGGTGGCAGCGATGGGTCGTCAGGTGGCGGCCAAGGCGCCGCTGGCCACGACAGGTCCGGTCGGCGTCGGCGGGCGATCCGCCGGGCGGTTCGATCGACACGGCGAGGACGGCGCCCGACCGCATTCCGATCGCTCGGCCTTTGGAAGCGCGATCCGCGTTGCCCCGATCGAGCCAGCAACCCCAGCGAATGCGGCGTGCCGTCCTTGATGAGCCAGAGCTGCGCCGACTTGCCCGGCGGTGCCAGATCGATGGCGGCGACCCGCAATTCCCGCGACGAAGGTCGACGGTCGCACCGAAGGAGCCACATCCTTGCCGGTCGGGGTCAGTGCCGCGATCATGATCGTCGGCGGGCTTGCACAGGACGGCGCTTCGGGGACCGGCACCGGGCGCAGGAAGAGGACCAGCAATACCGCCGCCGCGACCGCCAGGCCGGCGGGGATCAGCGTCTTGAGCCGGGAACGCGGCAGGTCGCGAAGCCATGGCGATCCGATCGATCAACCCCTCAGGTGCCGGCACGGAGGATAGTCGTCGAGCAGATCGGCGAGATGCCGCCGCCACCATTCGACCTCCGCCGCGAACCCGCGATCGGACAGGACGCGACGCAGCGCCACCGCCCGCTCCTCCCCGTCGAGCAGCCCCAGCGCCAGTTCGGCGGCCATCATATCGGGATCGGGATCAGTGGTCACCGACGCACCCCCGCAACTGCATCAACCCGCGCCGGACCCAGCTCTTCATCGTACCCAGCGGCACGCCTTGCGCATCGGCCAGTTCGGCACAGGTCATGCCGTCGAAAAAGGCCGTGCGAATGGCGTCGCGTTACCGCCCTCCAGCGCCTCCAGACATTCGTGCAGGCGCTGCGCGGTCTCAACGCGTTCGGCGGCCTGTGCCTGGTCGGGCGTCATCGGCCACCTCGCCAGGCGTGGTCGATGGGCTGCGTCAACCGCTTGGCGCGGGCCCGGACCCAGTCGATCCGATCGGTTGCGGGCAATGGTGGCCAGCCATGACATCGGGCTGGCCGATCCCGCTTCGAACGCGCCCGCCCGCTTCCAGATGATGGCATAGACGTCTTGCAGCACGTCCTCCGCCGCGCTCCGATCCCGACAGATCTGCAAGCAGATGCCGAACAACAGCCGAGTCATCCGATACAGCTCGCTCAGCGCGTCCCGGTCTTCCGCGCCAATCCGGTCAACGTGTCGAACAAACGGACACGCATATCGACAGGATCGAGCATAATCGGCGGCACGAACCCTGCTTAATAATCGCTCGGCGGTGCGGGGCAATCGGCTGGCGGGGAAATGCGCGGGTCGGTCACCATGCCACCCGGCCCACGCCATAAAAACGGGCCGCCCCCCTTAAAGGGACGGCCCGCCAGTTCAACATGCAACAAGGATCAGAAGCGAACCGTACCCTCCAGACCGATGGTCGGGGCGGGTTGAAGTTGCCATAATCGCCCAGCGTCGCGGCGTTGGCGGCCGAGCGACGGTAGATGAAGGTGTTGTTGAGCAAATTGCGGCTCCACAGCGACACGGTCATCTTCGTACCATTCTCGGTCAGCGGCAGATCGGCCAGCGCGATGCGGCCGTTCATGACGAAGCGTCTTGTCGGTGGGGTCGTCTCGTTCTGGAAGCTATAGGCCGGGTCCGAATAATTGCCGTCCAGATGGAAGCGGACCTTCGCCTCCGAACCGGCCAGCGGCGCCGTAATCGACATAGGCCGAGGCGGCGTTGCGCGGCGTATGACCACGAACACAGGTCAGCGTGTTGTTGAGGAAGGGATTGGGCGTCAGCGGCACGTTGGTATAGGTGTACGCATAGGACGCGCCGACCGTCGTGCCCTCGACCGGGTTGGTCGTGATATCGGCCTCAAGCCCGCAGATCTTGGACGTGCCCGGCGCGTTGCGGGTTTCCTCGGTATGCAGGTTGTAGGTCGGGCTCGCCGGGTTGGTGTCGACATTGTCGAAGTCGATCTGGGTGCCGGTGCGATCCATGATATAGCCGGCCAAGTTCAGGCGGACGCGACGGTCCAGGTCCATCTTGGCGCCCAGTTCGTAGGACTTGACCGCTTCTGGGACCGAAGGCGGCAAAGGTCTGCGAACGGTCATTAACGCCACCGGCGCGATAGCCGGTCGAATATTTGGCGTAGAGGTGGACCGTGTCGCTGGCGTCGAACGCCGCCGTCACCATCGGATCGAACCGGTGGTTGTCGAAGGTGAAGGGGAAGTTGGTGGACTTGCCCTGCACCAGATAGGGCGTGCCGTTGCGCTTGTCGTGGGTGTAGCGACCGCCGACCGTCAGGTGGAAGGCGTCGAAGCCCGCCGGGGTATGGGTCGCACGGGCAAAGGCCGCATAGCTATAGGCCTTGGCGAAGCTGCCGCGCTGCAGGAAGAACGAACCCGGCGCCCAGCCACAGTTTGCCTGAGCTGATCGTGCCCAGCGCGGTCTGCGACAGGATGGTGTAGCCGGTACCGTCCGAATTCCACTGGTTGGTCGACGGGGTGGCGGCGACTTCGCGGGCGTTTTCGGTGAAATAATGAGGGCCCGCGACATAATCGAGCTGCGGCAGGCTGCCGACCGCACGGAACTCCGGCTGAACTGGTGCTGCTGCATGAAGGACAGGCTGTGGCGGCTGAACTTTGCTGTTCGGCAGGAACACGGTGCGATGCGCGCCACGGGTGTCCCACTGATCGGTCGACACGCCGCGCCATGCGGTGATCGAGCGCAGCTCGAGCCCGGCATGACGTCATAGTTCAGCTTGGCCGAGACGCCGTGCGTGCGGTCGACGCTATACTGCTGCGGCACGCCGATATCCGCAGTCTTCATGCGGTTGTCGCCCGACACCACGACCAGCGGCGACAGCGGCGCGATGGTGCCGGAGGGCAGCTTGCCGCCATTGGCGTTGATCTGCGCGATCGTCGCGACCGGCAGGCCACGTGGGTTGTAATTGATCAACTGGCTGTAGAAGGGCGTGTTCTCGTCCTTCGCACGGTCATAGGACAGTTCGGCCGAGAAGCCGTCGACCGGCTTCCAGACGGCGGCGACGACCACCCGCCCGGTTGAAGGCGCCCCAGCCCACGCTGCCGGGCAGCGGGTTCTTCTGAACGGATTCTGGTGCTGGATCACGCCGTCCAGCGATCGCGATATTGTTGAACTCAGGCAGGTTGATATGTGCGGCGGTGTTGTACGCACCATAATTGCCGAAGCCCGCGGTCAGCGCGCCGCCGAACTTGCCGGTCGGCTTGGCGGTGACGATGGACAGTGCGCCGCCTTCGGTATTGCGGCCGAACAGCGTGCCCTGCGGGCCACGGCACCTGACGCGCTCGATGTCGAACGGGGGCGGCGTTCAGGCCCTGCGAACGGCCCAGATAGACGCCGTCGATATGGACGCCGACGCCGGTGTCGCGCGCGGTCTGGTTCTGGTCGAAGGGCACGATGCCGCGGATACCGACGGTCAGCGCCGACTGGCGTGCCTCGAAGGTGGCGACGCGAAGCGACGGGACAGATGCCGTCGGCCGGGTCAGCAGGCTCTGGACGTGGCGGTCCTTCAGGACGGTCGGATCGATGACCGAGATGGCGATCGGCGTCTTCTGAAGGCTCGTCTCGCGCTTGGTGGCGGTGACGACGATTTCCTTGAGCTGGCCCGCATCGTCCGCCGGATCGGCCGCAGCATTGGTGTCAGCAGGCCCAGGTATCCGCCGCGGCAGAGGTGCACCCGCGATCGCCAGAAGCGCCGTACCGCCCAGCAGCAAGCGCAGCCAATTGATGTTCATGGTCTTTTTATCCCTATCCCCCCGATCGACCTTCCGGTCGTCGCTGGCCCGCGCGGATAGGGATGCTCGAAGAAGTTAGCGTTACTCTTTGGTGACCGGCCGGGACTTGTTCATTTCATCTCGCGTTCATCTGGCGCCGGCGGGGCAATTGCCCGACCAGTTCCAGCCGCTGTGGCACCGTGCCGATAGTGATGCCGCGCTCGCGCAGCTCGGGCGGCAATTGCAGCAACACGGCGCTACGCGATACCATAAACCCGCGCGCGGGCTGGCGACATGGGCGAAACAGTTGAACAGGATGCGCCC